ACAATGTGTCAAAATGAAAAGGTCTTTAGGAAGAAATCATTTGCTTTTGCAGTGATTATGTGTACAAGAACCACAATGTGATTCTTGTTTGCTGACATGGTTTTTCTTCTCCTCTCAGAGTTTCAAGAAGCAGCTTCTCAGCCTGGAAAACCTCAGAAACAAAGTGAGGTTAGTATTTCAAATCCCTTACATTTATTTGCTCTCTACTCCTGGATAGAGTATGTTGTTTAAATCGTTTCCTCCCCTTTCAGGTACTGTGTGTTTGGTCTCGGCTCTCGAATGTACCCACACTTCTGTGCGTTCGCCCATGCAGTGGATGCTAGGTTTGGAGCGCTGGGAGCCATCCGTGTGTCCACCACAGGAGAGGGAGATGAGCTGAACGGACAGGAGGAAGCTTTCTCAGCCTGGGCTTGCATTGCCTTTAAGGTCTCAGTAATAAAATAAACATTGAGCATTCATTGTTTTCAGTGCTTTAAATTGGTGAACGGTAAAATAATGAGATTGTTTTCTGTATGTATAGGATGCATGCAAGGAGTTTAATATTCAAGGTCAGCTTCCAGGAAAAGAAGGTCTGGCAGATTCCTGGGATCCACAGAGGCACAGAGTTCAGAATGACAGCTGTACACTTGACCGAATCACAGGTACATTTAGACCCATGTCCTTATAAAACACATCATTTAGGGAAAAATTATGGTCAAAACTTGATGAAACCTGTAGAAGTGGTCAAAAATGGAAGCAAAAATGCTTTATTGATCATTTTTGTGCTTTTTAAAAACATTTTACTCAGCAAACTATAATACAGTTCGATATTAATTACATAGGGATATGGAACTGTTTAATGACATTTTAAAATTTTACATCGAAATATGTAGTTTAGCAATCATTATAATAAGTATTTCACAATCAGAAATGAGAATTCAAGAATCATGCCATTAACAGATTCATTTGCAATATTTCTGCAGTGATTATTATTATCTGGCTTGGTTTTACAGCTCTGTCAGCTCTCCATTCTAAAGCGGTGGTTCCCATGAAACTGAAGAGCAGGCAGAATCTACAGAGCCCAAAGTCAAGGTTTACTCTCAAACCAACTCGTATTCATGCATCTATATTTTTTATTCATAAAAATAGTAATAATAACAGTAATGTCTTGAAATTCTTCAGAAACAGGTGCCTTGTTATGCTGGGTGTTTTGCCTTATTTTCTCAGAACAGTATTTATTAAATTTTTTTACGTGTTCTCAGTCGTGCTACAATATTGGTGGAGTTAGAGATGGATGGGAGCACAGAGACCTTAAACTTTGTCCCTGGAGACCATGTAGGGATTTTCCCAGGGAACTCACCTGAATTAGTAGCTGGCATCCTGAAGCATCTGCCCAATGCCCCTCCTATCAATCACAGCCTACGCTTGGAATTCCTCAGTGCCTACCCTGGTACTGAACCATCTTACCTAATTACATAATGGAAGTCTTACACATAATAACATAATGATACCTAATATTATTGTCCTGCAGATGGTGAAAGGTGGCAGAGAGATGAACGCATACCACCATGTCCTCTTGCCCAAGCTCTTACCTACTATCTGGATGTCACCACCCCACCCTCACAAAGCCTCCTCCGCAAACTCTCAAAGATGGCAAAGCAGGAAGATCACAGACAGCGCCTGCTTGCATTAGCAACAGTAAGTCACTTTTTGACAGTCACAAATGTTCCAAAACTATTGATGAGACTAGCAAACAATTTTTGTTTGAAAATTTTGAACGTTTTTTTTTAGGTAATTTTAATAATAAATACTTTTTTTTAAATCTTCTAAAAGGTGTGTTTACACAGACTTTTTAATAACTTTTCACAGAACCAACTCATTACAGTCATTTGTTCAGGAATCTGACTACACTGGTCACTGTGTGTGTTTAATTCGCTAAAAATAACCAACTCAGTCAAATCATTATTCTGGAAATTGGACTAGACTGGCTGCACTGTTGTGAGCTCACTAAAAATAACTGCTTTATTACATTCAATCAGCCGGAAATCAGACTACACTGCTCGCTGTATGTGTTTGATTCACTTTAAAGACCCAGCGCATAAGGGTAATTTTTTTTTTAGGATCGGCCTATGCTGGTTGAGCTGTACGTTTTTGATTCACTGGTTACACTTTATGTGTTTGATTCACTAAAAAGAACTGAATCATTTTGGGAATAGGTCCACACTGGTTGTGCTGCTTGTTTTAGAGTTGCATTTGTTTTATTAGCATTTTAAAAACGGTATCCTGAAAATGTGTGAGAACCAGTAACAGAGCCGAACGTCATTTGGTTCCAGTATTTTTTTTAATGGAACCAATCTGATTTTGCTATTTTGCAAGGCAACACTATATAATGTATTTGTGTATCATTGAAAAATCCAAAGCAGTGAGTGTGCTAAAAGTCCATTCTTTCATAAAATGTCCCATTATATCGAAAGTGACAATTTACATAATGGTTTTTGAACGCTTATGATGAAATATCATTCTGCTTATTTTTCATAAAAAAAGGTCCATTGTGTGGAATTATCATGGGTTGTTTTCACTTTGTGTATTGGTTAAATACACACCCCTCCACTACAGGATTTCCAAGTCTACACAGCATGGAAGGAGTTCCACAAACCTACTTTCCTTGAGGTGCTAGAGGAGTTTTCCTCTCTGGAACTTTCTGCTGCCTTTCTTCTCAGCCAGCTGCCTTTACTGAAGCCACGCCTCTACTCCATCAGCTCCTCCCCAGACCTCCACCCTCAAGAGCTCCACCTCACTGTGGCCGTCGTCAGCTATTACACACAGGGTACAGGAAACCTGTGTTTGCCAGTAATCGTTTATTAGTTTATACCTGAACAGATGAACTCTCTACTAGACATAAAACTTCTTGGATCACTGAAGAAATTAATCTGTTGTTATCATATGTTCTGCTCTCTTTAGAGGGAAAAGGTCCACTGCATTTTGGTCTCTGTAGTACCTGGCTCAATACCATCAAAGAAGGAGACATGGTGCCATGTTTCGTTCATAGGTACCCTTCATATTACATTCCTAAGATGTACAAGATAATTTTTTTCTCTTCATAACTCACTAACTTGTTCCATTTATGCAACAATTCCAGCTCTGATGGATTCCATCTTCCATCCGACCCTAGTGCTCCCTGTATTCTTGTGGGAGTTGGGAGCGGCATTGCTCCCTTCCGTAGCTTTTGGCAACAACAATTCCATGACATGAAAAAAACAGGTATTGAATTGTATCCCTTATCACATTCAAGTAGTTTCAAACAGTCCATTGAATTAGCTCGCCTCAAGTTTCTGAACCTCAAGTTGTGTTATTTCTTTAAGGTCTGAAAGGGAATCCAGTGACTCTCGTGTTCGGGTGTCGAGGTTCAGATACTGATCATCTTTACAAAGAGGAGACTCTGGACATGAGAGATAATAGCACCCTAAGCAGTATCATAACAGCTTACTCTAGGCAAACTGGACAACCCAAGGTAGACACACTTGACACTGTAACTGCAGTAATATCTAGAAATCTCTAATATCTGTAAATATCCAGTAATATCGATAGTGTATCATAATATATAAATATAATATTTATAATTATTATTATTATTGCTGTAGCTGTTATATTTTATTATATATATATTTTTTTTTTTATTTAAAACTATTAATAATTATTTGTTCATAATAAAAAACATAAATCATTACTTCTAGTTAGAACTAAAAAATGATTCTAAACGGCAGTTAACACTCTTTGGGGGTTGTTGCTTACTCTCTTTTTTTTTTTTTACTCCACTCTTGGTCCAGGTTTATGTCCAAGATATCTTGCGAGAACAACTGAATGACAAGGTCTTTGAGGTTCTGCACCATAATCCAGGGCATCTGTATATCTGTGGAGGTATGAACATGGCCCATGATGTGGCTGCCACTATCAAGGAAATCTTAGTCAGCCGGCTGGGCATCACTCTTACTCAGGCTGAGGAATATCTGTCAAGGCTCAAGGTGAACCTTCAAATTGTTGACACATTTTATAGCGGCTTCAGATAATCATGTCTTACAGCATTTATGCTCCTGCAAAGGCTCAGTTGTCGTGAATGGTGAACTGTTTACAGTCTGTAATGATATATGGTCAATAATTTTACACGATTATGCTTTTTTGTTCACAGAATGAAAAGCGGTACCATGAAGACATCTTTGGATCCTAGTGCTTGAAATCACCTGGACCACCTCAAGCTTTTCAATATCCAAACACACCAAAAGGGGGGAGATTTAAATTTTTTAACTTGTAATCTTTTGATTTTCATACAGCTTCCAAAATAATGCCAAAACCTTTCTCAACTTAAAAAATAAAAAAACGCTACATAAATACACAACAGCAGTGTATTAAATTTCCATACACCACCCTGATTGTCAGTAGCTTTTGGAATGTACAGCTCAAATTATGGAGAAATATTAGTTCCTGCATGTAAATAAACTGTATTTTTTACTGTATTATTCCTATATGTTTGTTTAAAATGAATGCCTTTTTGTTTGTTTTTGGGAAGACTGACCTGCACTTCTTTAGAGTGGTGCTTTCATGGCTAACTAATTGCAGGAACAATTCTTTTGGAGCAATCTAGAGTTTCCATGCTCAACAGAACAACAGGGATCACCTCTATCTGAGGGCTTCAAAAGTCTGACCTTTTATACAAAGAGTTTACTTGTTGTACATGTCACAGATATGCTTATTTAATAAGTGACCTATAAATTGTGCAATACTGCTTTTTTTCGGCTTTTACTTTATTGTTTATTTCTTACTATTGCCTCGTCATGCCAAAGCCAAACTATACTTTCAGTGTTTATTGTTAATACTTTCTTTCATAAGTGTTACATATAAGTGTTGTATACATCTTTAATTGGATGTTCATGTTAAATACTGCATTTTTGTAATAAACAGACTTTAGTTATATTCTATCAAAACCACGGGTAGCTGTTTTTCCCCCTTCGCATTCATGTAGTTTGTCTTTAATGGGTACCCGTAGTAACACCGGAAGTCGTGTATCCATGCTGCAGCAGAGAGCGTGTAACTGTCACTTTCCCCTGACTTTTCGGTTATATTTATTTATATCTAATTAAATTTGTATTATCATATAGACATATTATGGCTGGGAGTCGACTTGAGAAATTCGGGACCGTATTTACTCGGTAAGCATTAGTGACAGCATGTGCTTCTTGAGTTCATTTCAAGGTTAATGACAAAAATAGTAAGTAACGTTATAAAACGTGTCTAAGAAGAACAAGAGATCGGCTTATTATAAAATATTTTATGTAATATGAAAGTGTACTGTGTAAAAACTTTTTAGGATGCCAAGAACGGAAACAATAAACCTGAGACCTTTTGTATAGTGTATAGTTCGAGTTCTTATTGTGAGGCTGAATGATTGATTGTTGTTTGTAAAGGGTTCGTGATTTAATGCGAGCTGGAGTCATCAAGCATGAGGAAAGGCCCATCTGGTTTGATGTGTATGCTGCTTTTCCTCCCAAGAGAGAACCTCTCTATGAGAAACCTGTGAGACCACTGAAGATACATGCAGCAGATACTGTACCTGAAATCTTATACAAAGAGGATGCAATACGAGCGTAAGTCCAAACAAACCCGTTCAGAACGCTAATATATCATCTTTAGTAACTTGGTTTGGTTTCAACATTATTGCTCTACATATGTCCTTCATTTGTACTTCATATTTTCACCCCTTTTTAATGTGTTTGTCATGTTTATATTGATGCATTTATTGTATTCTATGTCTTTATTGATTTTACTATGTTTCTTTTGAGCTTGATGCTATATACACAAACATTGGGGTCAGTAAGAAAATAATACTTTTATTCTGCAAGGATATGCATTGAATTGATCAAAAGTCTCTTATAACATTGCAAAAATAAATAAATGCCGTTTCGATTAATCAAAGAATCCTAAAAAAAATTCATGATTTTCACAAAAATAAGCAGAAAAACGGTTTTCAGTATTTATAAATAAATGTCTCTTGAGCATCAAATCAGCACGTTAGAATGATTTCTGAGCATTATGTGACACTGAAGACTGGAGTAATGATGCTGAAAATTCAGCTTTATATCACTGGAGTACATTACATTTTAAAATCTATTAAAATAGATAACTTTGAAAAAAGTTGTAAGATTATTTCACAGTGTTATTATTTTTAATGCATTTTGATCAAATAAATGCAGCCTTGGTGAGCAAGTCAAGTCACTGTAGCTTGTTTTGTGAGCACAAAAGACTTCTTTTCAAAAACAACATCGTCTTAACTGACCCCAGACTTTTTGTAACTTAAAATTACATTAACTAGATTCTAGTGCTGTAAAACCTCCAGCCCATTTTTGGGTCACTGACCCTCCAGTTAAACTTGCATGCATGCTGGACCTTTGCAGTAAATCCACATGACTTTTTTTCTGTGGTTGTAGGAAGTTCTTTGAGGTTTATGGTAATGGACCAAGATCTTTTGAGCTCCTCAAGCCCAACTTTGTATCACCATGTCAGAGGCAAGTTATGATGGGAAATTACACGTTTTTACAGTACTTGGCAATTTCTTTAAATTGAGTTTTCTGTGCCTTTTGATTTAGTTGTTGTGTTACTGTATCTCTGTGCAGGTTTGTTATGAAGTACGGTGAATTAGAAAGCAGAGGGGATGTCAAACCTGAGCTGCTGTTTGAAGAGACTGCAAAAGCGCTGCTCGCAGAGGGCATTTATTTAAGAAAGAGAGGAGGACCTGTGGTGAGACTGAGAGCTAAATTATTCTTTAGACTACATGATTTAATTTTGTATTTGTCCATCATGTTTTTTTATAACCAGCAGGTGGCACCACAGTCTCAGGACCCTTTGCTGAACATGAAGTTGACTGACATGTTGGCAGAGCAGCAAAGAGACACAGACACCGAGACAAATATTCCAGAGAAACAGCCAGAGCCAGAGACGCTGAACCCTGATAGACAGACATCATCATAAATGTCCCACTTCTCCTCTGTTAGGACAACATAAACTGCACCTGCCTCTAGCACATCAATGTGCTGGTCAGTCATGTGTGTTTGATGCATCAAACACTGGGACACAGATATAGTTTGTACAGTATGTAAACCCACATGTGTCTTTACCCCTCCTGGTGTCAAGTGAGTGATGTAGAAGACACGTTTGCACAGTCAAAATGGCTTTGACTTGAGGTCTTTATAGCCAAGCAGCTGGGGTTTCGTGAATGACTATAATACAGATCTAGCAAGTGTTTCATTTCTGTGAAAAGTGTCTAATGTCTTGTGTAATAAAATATGTGGAGTGTTTAATGGAAGTACTTTCAAGTCCATTAACAACAGGAGTGGAAAAGCATCTGCATTGTAAATACTCAATAAAGTGTTATATTTCCAATTTTCTGAGTCACACCATAAACTTATGATTCATATTGATATTAAATGTTTTTTTTTTACACTACATCCTTCTTGCCTGTGCAGTCTTGCATTTAAATACATCCTCAACAGGATCTTAAAGAAACTTACTTGGGGAAGTTTTTATGTATTTTCATTGTTTTTGTGATGTTTTAGCTTTTAACTTTATTATAACATTTATGGATAGCTGATCTGCACAGACAACGATTAATTTCATTCAGAATTACCATTGTCCTTAACTTTTCTCCCACTCCTGCAGAGGTAAAGTTAGAATAAAATATTTTGATATCATCTGAATTATTTACAATTGCTCACCCTCTTCACTAAATTAACCCTGCTAAATGAAGATACCGCGCAAGCTTTCATTGCTTGCTTGTGATATAATTAAACAGAAAATAAATATCACAATAAATATGACTGCGGTTTTAAAATGATCAAATCAGTTCTGTCATGATGACCAAAACTGGAACATAGAAATGTTAAACAATGACCCAGAAATTATTGACCATGTTAGCATTCTGTAATTGCCAAGACATTAATAAAAAAAACCCCTGAAGATATTCACCATCTAATCTGGCAGAACATGAAATTTCTTCCCAATCTAAATGTCTCAAGCAGACATATCCAAGATGATTGACAAAAAAAATATTTTTTTGTTGAAGAACATACTTTTTGCAAATGGCAAATGCGTGGCTTTTTGGGATAGTGAATAGACACTGATTCATCACTGCTGAATTTGTTAACATAACCATTTTAGTGTAAATGTTTAAATGTGTAAGCTTACCAGGAACAATGCGAGTTAAGGATGTGAATCATTTCTGCAGTCACAGTAAAAGCAGACATGACACATCAAATGAACATGCACTGGATTGATTGTTAGTGTTTGTTTTTGTCTCTAAAGACGTTTTTTTCAAGCGCAGGCTCTCTAAAAGGACCACTTAAGGACAAAAATCCCATTAGTGGGCAAACATGTTTGCTGCTAACTGAACATCAGATCCAAAGACATTTTACATGTTATGTGCATGATGAATAAACAAAAATGTTCTGTGTCTTTATACTGAATATTATTAATTTGTCAGATTCTAAACATTCCCGTCTTTAAATTTGAGACCCAGACATGATGAGGATGTGGAGTGGAACAGTGGAACAGTTTTGTAATATCTTCAGGTTCAGGTTCTGGTCCTTCACTGCTGTCTAAGTGGCTTAATAATTACGACAGTAACATTTCTGTATTGTTTAGAAACACTAACTAGCTGCAAGGAGTTAAACGGTCCTTTACTGTTGACCGCTAGATGGCAGTAATGTGATAACTATTGACACAAGTGTGATATTTGTCGGCTGTTCTGTGCACATGCTTCCCGTCGTGCATTTATAGGGCCTGCCTGACATGCTGAGAGAACAGAGCTGTCAAAATGTGCATAACGCAAAACACATCTTGGATAACATTTTACCCACAAGTAATTTATTTTTGTTCGATGTTGCATTTCAATTCGTGTCATTTTGTCAGCCTTAATAGCTTTTATATGTGTGTTTTCATCTATGTATGTGTGTGTGTTGTGAAGGACCCAGATGCAACTGAAATTAGTGAAGGAGAAGCGTGTAAATAGTGAAGGCAGAGGCGCGTGACGACTGTATGAACGCCGTCCTGCTCCTGAACACAACAACAACCCTGCAACAATTACCATGGTAACCACAGTTCCTCCCTAAACACCTCCCTAATGTTACTCCCACAAAAACATTATGAATTAATACAGGACCTCAAACTGTTTAGAGTATTACTCTCTTGGCTAATAGTGAGTATTACTACTGAAAAGACTGCACTAGCCATGTTAGAGAAGACTAGGCCAGTTATCACAGTGGCTATATTTCAGGAATGGTAAGGTTTTTTATAGTTTTAGTAGTGATTTAAGTTTGTTTTGAAAAAAAAAACATAAATATAATTGAGAAATTAAATTAAGAAGTTAACACAATAAAAACCACACCGACAAGAGTCAACTATAAAGTATATTTGTACTGTTGTTAGGTTTTTTTATACATGTCAGTCACAAGTGTTTTAAATGTTTTCAGTTTATACAGTTTATTCATTACAATTCAATATTGCAAGCTGTAAGCTACTCAAACCCAATCTTTTGACTCTTATCTGATATTATGATAAAAGATAATTTTTTATCCTGCACAAAACAATAAGGATTTTAATTACGATTACAGCTACAATCATAAACTTACTAAATTAATAATAATAATAAAAACTTCTAATTGATTTAACTAAAAACAGTGATAAACGTCAGTATCTAACTAAATATTTTGCTACAAATTGACTGATTTAAAATGCCATACAAGGAGTTTCAGGAACACAACTGAGTGCTGAAATGAATAAATTGCTGTGAACCAATTAAAATAACTGTCTAAAAAAACTATTTGCTAAAGTGAATCAGAATTCGTAACTCTATTTAACAAAGAGAGAGAGAGCGTGTTTGATTGTTGCTTCAGCTCGCTCGGTTGCAAGGCTGCGTACAGACAATGCATTTTAATGCTACAAAGCAACTTATTGGGGGAAAAAAAGCTTTCTTACTACTAAAAATGTAGTTTAGGTAGTTGCATCACTAATTTGCACATTGATAACCATATATTTTCAATAAAAAGAAAAATATTTAAAATGTGCAAACAAGCCACATTCTTTTACAAAGCCTACTTACCATGAACTATTATAGAAAAAGGAATCTAAATAAGTTTTTAAGTTCCTACCTTCAGAAGAGGTCTGGTTCATTTACACATTTTTTTATTTATTTTAATGTCCTGAGAATACAACCGGCTTATTTGAAGCTCAGCGTCCCTGGCTATGTCTTCTCCTTTGTTATGTGCTGATAATGAGACATGATCTGTACACACTAGATGTGCACTACTGCTTCTGTCTGGTGGCCAAACATCCCTTTGAGTGCTCCATCACCATAATCAATGGCAGGTTGAGCCGGCTGAGGTTTGAAGACCTTTACACAAACACTGTTTGTTTTACTTCTCCACGGCCATGGAGCTCAGAAGAAAGGCTGCCATCCAGTTGCCCTGGTCAAGGTATCGATTGGGACCCGCTTGTTTGTTGTTTTATTTATTTATTTGTTTATTCATCAGCACTGGAACTCTGGGATCTTCTCCTCTGCATATGTCAAGGGTATTTTTTTCCCCAGCAGAGCTTGATTTTTCTTGTCCCTGGCCAGCAAAAACTTCAATCTGCTGTGCAGTGCAGGCCTGCTGTACTGATTAATTACATAAAGATGCCTGATGGTTTAAATTAGCCTGGTATAATACTTGAGAGACCTGAATTACTGTACTTGGTATTCCTCTCTCTGCTGAGGTCTGCACAAATACAGGCAGCTTACAGTCCTTAACCTAAAATATGATGCTCTCACAAACTGGGCCAAGACAGAGGATGTTTCAACTATTCTATCTACTCACAAAATTCACAATCAAAGAGATGGTTTATGGGAATCTGAAATTTGTTAAAAATGTACACTATAAAAAGGAATCAACTGAAAAGGGTTTTATGCCAAAAGTAAACATTAGCAAAACCTGGACCTTAGATATATAATAATTATTCATATGCAAATTATTTATATGCATACATAAAAGTAATAGTTTTAATCCATTGTAATATTTACATCTTTATATATTAGACCTTTAATGTTTTATAACAAATGATGTTTTGCTTACATGCTCTAATACATAATACTATTTAAAGTAGCAACCATACATACAGTATATAATGTATTATAATGGAGGTTAATTATATCTGAGAACATACAACTCTTTGTAATGTATTATGAAACGTGCAGTGCATTATGTAAACTTAAGTAAAATGCTCCTAATCTTCATATTAGGTGTCCTTTATAATACCTTTAACAGTGGACCTATAATGCATTATAACGATTAATAATTATTTATAATGCACACTAAAGTGCACCTTTGTCTTTTCATAAATAACAGTAGTAAATAACAGCAGTTATAATCATTACAGTACTTAAATCTTTAAACGTTAGCCCTATAATGCATTGTAGTTATGTTCTGCTTACATGCTTTAATGCATTATACAATTTAAAATATTTGCATAGGTAACAATGCATTATAATGTATTATGATGGCTGTTTTTACAAAGAGGAACGTTAAACGGTTTGTAAAGTATTGTGAAACATTTACTGTACAGTGCATTTTATAAACTTATAGTAAAATGCTCCTAAACTTCTTATTCTTTAATGCTTTGACACTTTAGAGTTCAAGAACAAAACCAGTTATCTGTAGAACCTATAATGTCTTTTTTTTATCTCAAATAAGCCAGCACTATACTTTGTATATGTACCATTAAAGATTGATATATTCAGGCACTAATTGCATTTATAATAGGGAGAAAACTCATCTAAATTTGAAGTTAAATGTCTCTAGAAATGAAAGAATGAACCTGTTAACCAAGTGAAACACAAAGGAACTCCAGTGCTACCATGTACACATTGCTGTTTATATCACTATTGCACTGTCGGGATATACAATAGCCTGTCTAAAGTCATAAGAAAGACATGAAAAATACAGTATTTAGGCCAGTTTAGTTCCCCTAAAAGCCTCAGTTTAAACTGTCAGGCATCTCAGTTGACCAGGCAAAGGGTTAAAGGCTCTCCCGCGGAGTTCTGCCTCTTCACCATCAACACGTGCGATCCAGGTCAATGCAATTTGCTCTGCGGGCGAGTTCATTTTCACATGGCATTGAAATGCATGGCCACACGCGCCGCCTGCATTGCCTCAGGTCTGTTTCCTCTCTTCTGTCACCTAGAGCTAACCTTTCACTTGATACAATTCTAAATAATTGGTAAAAAATAAAAGTGAAATGGTTTTCTAACAAGTCTAAATTACATATAACAGTCTTTCACTTAAGCTGTGCTTTTTAAAATCAGAGACGAAAGCTCACAATTAAAAGCCTCGGGGGATAAAACGGAGCCCAAAGAGCGACTGCACCCATGTGGTGTGTTCATGTCATAACTTGCTCCATCCTTGCCATTTAGACCCTTATGTTGTTCAGTACTGTAATGTACTGACAATATACAGTGACAAAAATATCAAAAAGGGATTATTGGTTTTACAAGAAAATACTATTTTAGTCTTTCTACTTCAAAATTTCATGTTTATAACAGTTCACACGAAAATGAAAATATGCTGAAAATTTACTCACCCTTAGGCCATCCAAGAGAAATGACTTTGTTTCTTCACTGGAACAGATTTGAAGATATTTAGCATTTCATCACTTGCTCACCAATGGATCCTTTGCAGTGAATGGGTGCCGTCAGAAAAACATCTGATAAAAACATCGCAATAATCCACAGATTATTTAAGTAATCCATAAACTGGGTGTTTTCAATTTAAACAAATCCATCACTAAGATGTTTTTTTAAGTCTTCTATCCGTAATACTGCTTTCTCCGGTGAAAACTCATCTCGCCTGAATCAGGAGAGAAATATGCTCAAATCAAGCACTGAAAAAGTT